CATGACATTGGCTGTGGGTTTGTCATAAATACCTCTTATTATTTTGAGATGCATTCATTCCATCAATACCTAGTTTATTGAGAGTTTTAAGCATGAAGGGTTGTTGAATTTTGTCAAAGGCCTTTTCTGCATCTATTGAGATAATCTTGTGGTTTTGTCATTAGTTCTGTTTTTCCGATGGATTATGTTTATTGATATGCTGAACCAGCCTTGCATCCCAGGGATGAAGCCGACTTGATTGTGGCGGACAAGCTTTTTGATGAGCTGCTGGATTCAATTTGTCCAGTATTTTACTGAGGATTTTCTCATCAATATTTATCATGGAGATTGGCCTAAAATTTTCTTTTTTTGTTTTGTCTTTACTAGATTTTTGCATCAGGATGATGCTGGCCTGATAAAATGAGTGAGGGAGGATTTACTCTCTTTCTATTATTTGGAATAGTTTCAGAAGGAACGGTACCAGCTCCTCTTTGTACCTCTGATAGAATTTGGCTGTGAATTCATCTGGTCCTGGGCTTTTATTTGTTGGTAGGCTATTAATTGCTGCCTCAACTTCAGAACTTGCTGTTGGTCTTTTCAGGGATTTGACTTCTTATTGGTTTAGTCTTGGGAGGGTGTATGTGTCCAGGAATTTATCCATTTCTTCTGGATTTTTTAATTTAGCAAATTTAATTTATTATAGAACCAACAACTGGTTAAAGGGGAAAGGTTAGACTTTTCAATAAATAGTGTTAGGACAATTAGTTACACAGAAATAATAAAGAAAATTAGACCCTATTTCAAATCATACACAATAATCAATTCCAGAATTAAGGTAAGTTAAAAACCTAAATGTGAAAGGTATAACCATAAAACTCTTAGAAGACAATATAGAAAAATTTCCTTATATCTCATGGTAGGAAAGGATTACTTAAGTAAAAAAAAAAAAATTAAGAAAAAAATGATAAATTTGACCTCAGTAGGATGAAGAAATAATGTTTATCAAAGGTCATAATAAATGACTGAAAAAATAAGCTACTGGTTGGTAAAGATATTTGTCCCAAATATAATTGTCAATGAGATAACATCAGGAATATGCAGACCTAAAAATCAATAAGAAAAATTTTTAAAAGGTAACATGATTTTTCCTAAACTGAGCATAGGCTGCAAGGACACTCATTGTAGGTTTCATATTTAATATTCATATTTTATATTTTTCTGTGACATATTTTAATCTATTTATTTTAAAAACTATTTTTTAGAAACTACTTTTTTGTAAAGAGAAATAATCACCATGCAGTATGTTATGTACAATAACAAAACTACACTTAAATTGCCTCTGGTACCAGTGAAGGCTACAACCTCCCCAACCTGAGTGGGATGATAACAAGAAAGCTTCAGAAAACAATTTCACTCAAGGTAGAGCCTCAAGAACAAGTAAGTAAATCATTTGGTAAAGAACATTCTGAACAATAGGAATAGAATGGCCTAGTCTAGGAATTCTGAAAAGGCATGGAGTTTTCAGGAAATTTAGGTAACTGGATATGGTTGAAATATAATACACTGGTAAGAAAGGGGCAGGAGATACAGAGAAAAAACTAGGTGAGACAAATGACAGAGAATCTTTCATGCCAGCCGAAAAATGTGGACATTATAGTGTAACACAGAAAGTAATACACAACCATTTATGGATGTTCAACAGCAGAAAGACGTAGTCAGATTTAGGTTTTAGATGAATCAGTGGCTACTGTGGGGAGAATGAACTAGAGGGATCAAGACTTGAGGAATGAAAAGCAGTTTGGGAATTAATCCAGAGTCCACGGAAGGGAAAGTTAAGACTTGCATGAAGGTTCGTTGCCCACCCTTGACTGGTGGGTGGGGAGTAAGGAGAAGAAGGAGTCAAGGATTACTCCCATGCTTTCAGCTTGAGCAATTCCAAGAAGAGTGGTGTCATTCAATAGAAAACATGGGAAGAGAGGGTGAGTAATGAGATGATGTGGTTTAGTTCAGCACATGTGAAATCTTGGACACCTACTGCAAAGGAGAAGACCAATTGACAGGAAAAAACACCAGTACATTTTATGTGAGTTAGACAGACAGAGAAGGAAACTAGATGCCAGTAACAGTATGATCACAACGGTAAGTTTCAGAGTTTCCTATAATATATAATGATATAAGATGACATATAATGATGTGATCTGGGCTCAGAATTGGCAGTTAGGGAGATAGGTTTTAATTCTATCTCTGTACAAGGTCAAAGTGAATTGTAAATAATAATAGCAAATCAAATTTATTGATCATGTGCTATGAACTATATGCTGTATATTATTCAAACACATGACAAATATCTCACTTCATTTAGCAAAGGTTATCATAAATGACTGAAAAAAAGTGATAAAAATAATTTCCATTTTGTGTAAATAAAAACTTCATTTAATTCCCTTGGAAATTCTAGAGGGTTGGAGAAGATACTGGTCTTGTTCACACCTGAACTCTTAGCATCTAGCTAACACATCTATAGGCATTTAATACATGCATAAAAAATACTTGTTACAGGAATAAATAATTTAATTAATGAATACCTCTTTATAAGAACCCTGAAAGTTGTGTATTATTTGAACCTTGAAAGTTATGCATTAAATAATAATATAAATGTTACTCATATTTCTCTAGAAATGAGAAAATTGAAATTTAAAGAGGTTTACTAAATCACTTTCTACTGTAGAACATTGCTAAGCATCCAGTCTTAACAAGTGTCTGAGAAAAACTCAGGCCAATGGATTTCTACGTATGTCATAAGTAATGATCTGGTTTCTTTCGTTTGTTGTCCTATTTGACGGTGGTAATAGGAGTGATGAAGAAGACAATTCAAATGATTCAATTACCCTGGTAATGATTGGCATTTTGCATTTTATTTTATTTTTTTACATAGCGCTAACTTGTGACCTGGCTGCACGTGTTCTAATGTAGCATTGTGGTAACTCCACCTCTAGTCTAATATGGTTGTAAAACGTATTGTGCTGTGGTGTTTTATTTATTTTGTTGTGTTTTATTTTATTGTCCCTAGTAATATAAACCATGGAAGGAAGACCAGTTGACGATATGTGTGTTTTTCCTTGATCCCAAAACTTTCTATAATGTCTCACGCTTAGGAAAAGATGCAGACAAGATGAAAACTTTAAGTCATTTAGGCTCAGAGTTATCAATACGTTTCAAGCATATGAGATTGAGATCACTATTTACAAACTCTCTGGTTGTTAAAAGTAGTCTAGGGAGGATTGCTTATAGAAGTAATTAAATGTGTTGATTGGCTATTTACCAATGCCTACCTCAGTTCATTTACGGTTTGACACTTTGTTGAGCCCCCAGTCCAAAGAGACTCCTATAAACAGCATCTCTCTCATTTCACTCTTATTTGCCAAACTTCAGAGTAAATAGAGACCATAGGGCATCATTAACACATCTGCTCTTTTGTGTTGATCATGATGGAACATAATTTCACACTAGAAGTCACTGGGGAAGTAGGTGTACTTAGTGGAGATAGGAAAACATTTATCATGAAACTTTATTTGAGGAACCAAATACCTGGGGAATTCTCAGACTATTAAGCAAAGACCAAATGTAAACCTGAGAAAGAAAACTTTAGCTGATGCAAGATAAGCATGACAGTGACCCATACCTTAGTTTACCTACTTATTTGATGTAGATGTTTATAGATTTGGCACATGAGCAAAAAGCAAGGAGTTTCTCATCTGGAAGATAACAGAAGTCTCAGGAAAACCATCTAACTAACATCACGTCTCAGCCCTGGTTGGCTGATACAGGAAATCCTTAATTAAATACTCATTTGGTATTCCCTTAATAAGTAATTTCAAATATTAAAATTACAAGTATACTGCATACATCGAATAAGTTAAATTCCTCTGTCAAGAGAGAATAATACAGAACAAGGCCAACGTTTTTCTTAGTAGCAACAAGTTGCCTGTGTTTGGCTGTTGCCTTTGTCACCAGTCTCCAGTGGATTGCGACTGTGGGTTGTTAGGAGTCCCTGTGCCTTTACTTTCCTTGATGATTGGCACTGATCATAGTCTCTCTGGTCCTCCTCAAGCCCACTATAAGACCTTGTTGCCCAATACCCCTTTCTTGCCCCTAGGGTTATTGAAAAGCTGGAATAGTGCATTATGGTATTTCATTAATAAACATTTTTTAAAATTTGGGGGGACAAATATAGGTTTATCCAATACCTCCTATTATCACTATATTTTCATAACTGAAAAAAGTATATTAATCCTGGAAATTTAGTAAGGACATAATCTTAGACAACAAACAGTCTATTAAATTGAATAAGTTTTCCAATATGAAAAGCTCACCATATTATTTTGATTTTCTCACTTTACAATTACTTGTAAAAAGTCTGTCACAACCAATACTAAAATTCAGACTGAGGGGATTTGGGAGTCCTTGACTTAGACTATCAAGGTACCATTAGTTTGAGGAAATATTAAAACACCAAAATCTCAAGAACTAACTTTAGAAATAAAGTTTTTCCTTGCTGGTTTAAAAATGTTGCATTCTAATCAGCATGAAGAAAAGGAGTAAAATCCTTCTAGGTGTTTTCATGACTTCAGTAGCAAGTAAAAAGTAGAAATTCCATTTAATTTATATTATTTTGTAAAACGTTAGAAACAACTGGAATTGTTGACACTTCACAATAGAGAAGTGGTTTAAAAATATATTTGTATATCTGTGCAAAGTCACATTATACAGCCACAAAAAAGGATTACTTGTAGCTCAAACCTCAGCATCATGCATTATATTCAGCTAACAAATGTGCACACATGCCCCGACTCTAAAATAAAAGTTGAAAAATAAAAATATTAATATAAAATAAAGAATTTTAGGTGATATAATCCTCACCAGGAAGTATACTATAAGTAACATTTTTTTTAAAAAATTCATTTGGTTTGTATATATTTTATTTTTATATTTTCCGTTATTTTTCAAATTTCTTAGAAGTATGAGAATCAGAAAAACATACTTTAAATATGAAAATCAAGATATTTAAGGATTGGTATATATATTAACAATATAAATAAATTATGTGTCAACAATTATTTAGCAGTAACATTTAATGTGTGTGCTTTTAGTTGATTTTACAAAAGACATATACATATATGTGACAAGGACATGTATAAATATATGACAAAATCATTCTAATTTGGATTCTCAAATTCAACCCTATGATTTCCAACACTGAACAGCTGACTGAGGTACCACTATAAACTCATGGCAGTTCTTCTAAGGGCAGGAGAAGTTAAATAAAAGGTAGGCCCTTAAATGCTGGATTTGCAAAGCTCCAATAAGGTAGTAAGAATGGAAAAGATTATACCTACTATGTCCCAAATAGGAAATTACCTATAAGCATCGTAATTTAACTCACCATGCATACTTTGACTCAAGTAACTGATTTTAAAAATCCAGGTGGTTGGTGCATGGGGTTGGTTAGGTTGTGTTCATAAACATGATCATCAACTGATTTGCAAAACAGTAAAATATAATAATTCCACTAATTCTATTCCAAAAATAAATTACACCTGGATGAATCTTTTTGGAAAATTGTACCAAACAGAATCATCTTCAGTGCTTTTCTAAACCAGGGATAGAAAAATGCATAAATCATTGGATTAAATGTAGAGTTTAAGTAGCCAAACCAAATCAATACATCGTTCAAAGCAGGTGGAATAGTGTAGTGCAGAAAAGGGTCCATAACTGTACAGACAAAGAAAGGGCACCAGCACACTAGGAAAACTCCCATCACAATCCCCAGTGTCTTCGCAGCTTTCCTTTCTTTGCTCCGTGAAATTCCATTTTTCATTTCCAATCCAATCTGGAGCTTCTGATTGCCATCATTAATTGATCTTGCCTGCCCTTTAGCTATAAGATATATTCTGTAATAGACACATAACATAATAGATCCAGGTATGTAGAAAGAAGTCATGAAGGCCAGCACCCCAGATATTTTGCTAAAGAAGACAGAGCAACCTCCTCTGCAGTGAACATGTTTGTAATATATGTCTTCAGCTCCTTTGAAGTTTAGCTCCAGAAAGATCATTCCAAATGCAAAAATAGCGGGGACACTCCAACTAATGAAGATCATCACACAGATAACCAAGATATTGATCCTGACTTTATATCTCAATGGGTCACACACAGCATAGTAGCGGTCAATGGAGATGAAAGACAAGTGGAAAATGGATGCTGAGCTCAGCATAATGTCGGTGCTGGTGTGAATTCTACAGAAGACTTCTCCAAAATACCAACAGTGCTCAATAGATCGCACCATGCTGTAAGGCATGACCAAGCACCCCAGAAGAAAGTCCACAGTGGCCATGGAATGAATGAGCCAATTAGTCGGAGTATGGAGTTGCTTGAAGTGTGATATAGAAATAATAACTATCAGATTGCCAACCAGTGTGGTCAGAATTATGAGCACCATTAAACTGTACAGGGAAGCACGGACATCATTTGACCAGTTGTTTTTCACACAGGAAATATTAACTATATTGTGGCAAAGGGGCATCATTCCAGAGGGCTATCAACCAGTTTACTTTTCCCTTTGTGTGTTGAGTAACCTTTTTTCCAAATTCGTAATCAAGTTACAGTGCCTTTTCTTTTTTATTTTTTATTTGCACATACCTTTCCCAGAATCCTAGGAGAAAAAAAAAAAGAGTAAATAATTAGCAATTTGATTTCTCGCACTTCTAACACATTTACCTATTACTTTCTGTTGAAGAATAGTTATTTTGGAAGGAACTTTATTTCCAAGTTCCATTCAATAGTTCAGCACAGCAATTTTCTTTTAAAACTTTTACCTGGAGCTGGACATTGTTCTAGAAATACAAAGCTAAATTATTAGGTTGAACTATATGAAACTGCCACATTTGTAGAGCAGAGAAGATCAAATGATAATGATCACACATCTTAATCTATGGAAACAATCTGTGTCCACAGGAAGCCAGTCTAGGGGGGAGACTTACATAGAAAAAAATTGCCAGAAAATTTGGAAGTAAAATTTTTTTATGAAAAATAAAAGAAGTGTTTTAAATGTGCCTCTTTTGCAGAATTAATATGCACTAGTGCCCACTTTTGCATTTGGTCACACATAAGTTATACATTTCTTATTTTATAATTAATTATAATAAAATAAGCATACATATCTTTATTTCCAGCTGGCAAAGTACTTCTACATATATTCCATGCATTATTTCAGTTACCGTTTCACTTGAAATTTATAATACCAACATCATTTTTTGTACGGAAGACACGACATGCTTTATTAACTTCATTTTACTGTAAAGAAATTAAAGTTTAATTCACAAAATTATTAAAGCTTGAATATGAGCTGTGGTCTCAATTACTAGTCCATTTTCTTTTATACCAGTCCAGTCTTCCTCTGCATTGCAGAGAGAACCAACGTGAGATAAATTTTAAAAGATTAAGCTTTAAATTTTCATATAAGAATGTATGCTGTCTTAAGTAATGGCACCTACTAGTGAAGTATGATATTGTGGTCCCACTTAAAGATGTTTGATATACAGACTAAAGTCTATTGTAAGAAGAGAAGTGGCACGGCACAAGGAGCACTGAGGTGAGAGCCCCTGGAAGCTGTTTCCATATGGGCTGTGGGCAAGGCATACGATCTCTTTATTTTTTAAGTTCTGAAACTCAATAAATCCCAACTTATAAAACAGGTAAAAGAAATTATTACAACAAGAAGGCATCTTCTACTAGGCCCCCTCTTCTTGTACTTCACTGAAGAACCTCAAAGTTCCAAGGGACCCAGTTGGAAACTTTCCCTTTTGTTTCTATATGACCTTTTAATTCTGAGCTAAATTCTAGAACTTGGACTTACACACACACATGCATGTGCACACACACGTACACACACACATATATAACATATACACAGACATGTACATGCATATATATTCAGAGAGAAAGCAGAGAGAGAGAAAGAGAGAGACAGGAAGAAAGAAAAAGAAAAGAAAAGGGGAGGAAAGAAGGAAGGAAGGAAGGGAGGTAGGGAGGGAGGTAGGGAGAAAGAAAGAATGAAAAAAGAAAGAAAGGAAGACAGAAAGAGAAAAAAGGGAGAAAGAAAGGAAGGGAGAAAGAAAAAGAAAGAGAAAGAAAAAAGAAATAAAGGAGAAAAAAGAAAAAGAAAGAAGGAAGAAAGAAAAAGAAAGGAGAAAAAGAGAAAGAAAAAGAAAGGAGAGAAAAAAGGAAAGAAAGAAAGAGAAGAAAAGAAAGGAAGGAGAGGAGGAAGAGCTTGAGGAAAGAGTATAAATTTCTAGCAATGAAGTCCTATAGTCTATTACTTTGGTATGCGAATGCTAGAAAATAGCAACAATTCCTAGAATTCCAGGAGTCTGCCTTCCTTTTTATCTTCTCCCCCTTCCCTCTATGCTGATGGTTTAGAATGAGAGAAATGCAATATTTAGGTATGAAAATGTATATTTTAGTATATTTGAAATACTTCTCCCCTAATCTCCTTTGGTCTTCTATTCCCAGAAGGAAACATATTTATAACAAATAAATCTGTAAGATTTATTTAAAAAGACACCCAGGTTCATTCCATTATAGAAGCTAAACAGCAAACAAGAACTGTTATTTAAACTAAGCAATATTTGAATTATGATTAACATTTCACTAAAACAATGATGGATTTCTTACTATGAAATTTAAGTTTGCATTTAACTAACTCAATCAGTTAAGTTATACATTTTCTAGTTAGACTTTTCCCCCACTATTTCCATCTCTTTTCCTTCTTTCTTTTACTTATTTGTTGACTTACTAAAGGAACCATGCAACACTCAAAATCACTGTTTAGAAGCGTCTATTTACTACTGACTCTTAAAAACATTTCTACCTGATGTCATATTGAGTAGGGTCTCTCACCAGGAACCAGGGTTCAAAAAGAAGTAAGGGAAGGTGGAAATAAAGCAAAATAAAAATTTCACTTTTAGAAGTTGAAAAAACCATCTGGCAACTTCATAGGCCTTGTTCTTTGTGGCTACAAAATGAGCAGTCAATTCCCAAATAAAAACCAGTATGACTCCTACCTCAAACTCATATTTGCACATATTGGTTTAAGAGAAAACAAGCCTTCGGCACAGTATCTCAGGAATTGTTGATTGTATGAATGCCACATCTGTAGAACAACTTGTCTACCCAACTTAATATTAAACATTGTTTGTATGAGTGCTTTTAAAAGTGTTATATTTGTTTTTAAATAGATTTATTTGTTTAAATAAGTGCCCTATGACAACATTATCCTTATCTAAGGACCTGGCAGAATAGTGTTTTTGTTTCTTTTCTTTCAGCTTTAAGAATTTACGAGCTATAAATTATTATTATCTGTATATACAAATTATCCAGGTTGGATATACAATGGCAATATGGGAAGTTAATAAATTGCTGTTTGATTGCCTAGCTAAGCAAATAGTTCTGTGCAAATGATCTAATCATCTAATGTTTGAAAATGACATATGAATTTAAAAATATGTTGATAGAACTTACAGTTTAAAATAGATCTGTCTAGCAAGGCAGGAACTCCCTGGAAGATTGCCCCAACTTTCCAATAGAAGGTCATGAACCCTAATCCTACCATAACCTTTGTCCCTGATTCCATCAATCGCCCATCCCTAATTGCTTAGACTTTCGTCTCTATCCTAGTCTACTCATTTCCTATCTAAACCCATTTTCCATTGTGTTATTACTTACAAAACCCTTCTAAGTGTGCCCTTGGGGACTCATGGTCTTTATTCTATTTCCTAAAACTCTTTTTTAAAGGTTTCCCTCTCTTTGTTCTAATGAAAACTCTCTCCCCTCAGGATACCTTCTCCCCTGCAGTCTTGCCAATGGTGACTATTTTCTTTCCTACATCCCTTGTACCTCTTCATATTATACGATCTTGAGGAAGAGTAAGTGTCCTCTTACACTCATTGCCATTGAAGATCATTGTCCCTCTTTCCTCCCTAACCTCTAAGCCCTGGCAAGCTTTGAAGTTCATGTCTTCATGCTATACCTCTGTATTAGTTCATTTTCACATTCCTCTAAAGCACTTCATGAGACAGGGTAATTTATAAAGGAAAGAAGCTTAATTGACTCACAGTTCTTCAGGGCTGGGAAGGCTGCAGGAATCTTACAATCATGGTGGAAGGGGAAGTAGACACATCCCTCACATGGTGGCAGCAAGGTGAAGTGCAGAGTGAGGTGGGGGTAAAAGCCCCTTGTAAAACCATTAGATCTCGTGAGAACTCACTCACTATCACGAGAACAGCATGGAGATAACACCCCCATGATTCAGTTACCTCCCACCTGGTCCCTCCCATGACATGTGGGGATTATGAGAACTATAATTCAAGCTGAGATCTGAGTGCAGACACAAACCATTTCAACTTCCTCCTATTGCAGGCATGTACAGACTCCCAAGTCATGTCTCCATATTTCTTGAAGATATGAACTCCTGGCTTACAGTCACTGTCTGCAATGCTACTCCTGCCAAACTTCTTAGCAATTTTATTGTCCACCTTAATGATCCTTCCAATAATTGACTCAGTTCATTAACCTCTATTTTTGAACAATTATAGACTCACCTCTGTCTCATCTCATGCTTCCATGGCCATATCCTGGGATGTCATTATCAATGACAAGAGTCACCCAAATGATTGATTTCAAGCTCCACATACTGTCCTCCCAGCCCATGGCCACTAGTGCATCCTTTCCAACAATTTTTAAACTCCCATGAGACCATCAATTCATGTATTTTACACGCCTTTCCAAGTCCTTCATTTACTTATGCCTACCTCTTTATTCAGTTTAGATTCCAGGATTTCCTAGCATTATCTTAAGCTCTCTCCCACTAACACACCTTCCTGGCTAAACTTGAACCCTGGTTAAGTGAAGTTTTCCTCTCACTCTACTCCTGCACATTGAAAGTGGCATAGAAAATACACAGCAGCCTTCTTTTAAATTCATAGCGAACATGGACCATTACAATTGCTCAGGAATCCTACTTCATTTTCTTGCTACCTTCATTCCTCTCCTCTCTGAGATGACTATTTCATGCCTCCTCCCTTCTTGAATCTCAAATACTTATTCACAACCTTACTCTTACCTAATGACTTTGCATTCTCTTTCACTGAAAAAAATGATGCAATCAGAAGAGAATGTCCACATCCCACCATGCCTGTTTGCATATTCAGCCCACCCCCATATTGCTACAAATTACTACAAATGAATGGACTCTCTCCCATCACAGGTCATCCCTCAGATGTGCCCCATACCCATCTCTTTATGCCTATTTCAAAATACACCCTCCAATTCTCTCTCCCCTGCATCTTCAGTGGTTCTCTTCCAAATATCTTCAGTCTCAAATATGCGGAAATATTTTCCACCTTAAAAGAATTATTTAAGCCCATATCTTCTTTCATTTACCAACTACCCCTTTATCAGAAAAGAACGCTTTGAGTCATTTATACCCCTTGTCTCTAATTCCCCCAATCCTATCTTTTACAACTCATTGTAATGAGAATTTCATCATCAACTTTCCACCAGAACAGTTCTTAACTAAGTTCTTCCACCCAGTGGTAAGTTCTCAGGCCTCAAGTTCTCGCTTGGTCTTTCAATTCCTTCTTGAAACAATTTCTTTCCTTGGCTCCTGGGTCACCACCCCCTTGCGATTCTGCTACCACACAAGCTGCTCTTGTCAGTTGCAGTCATGGTTCTTCATCTCACTGGCCCTAAGGCTCAGTCCTCAGTTCCCTCCCTATTCATAATCACTCCCTTGGTGATTTTGTACTGCCTTATGGCATAGTCTATATGCTGATGAGTCTCAGATGAACACTTCCAGCTTCGACCTTCCCCCTGAACTAATATTACCTGCTGCCCAGAGGATATCACCACTTAACTTGTCTAAAGCCAAGCCCTTGAACTCTCTCTGTGCCTAGCTTTTTCTCTTTCTCTCTACATAGCTAGAACATGACAACTCTATTCAACTCTATTTTTGAACGTCCTCCATCCAAACTTTGAGGTAATTCTTAGTTTCTCACCCACACTCAACAACATATTCAATTCATCAATAAATGATCTTGGCCCTTCATTGAAAATATATCCAGAATCAGATCATTTCTCATCATTTCTAATATCATCATTCTGGTCCAAGACACCAACAACCTCCAGATTAATCTAATAACCTCCCAGCTGGTTCCCCTGCTTCTTCTCTTGTCTCCCCACAGAAAGTATTCCCAACAGGCAGCCAAAGTGATCACATAAGTACATACATTTTTAACATAAATTCTTCCAGAATGGTAGAACATGAGTCTCAAACGTAAAAGAACAGCAGCATAAAAAATATGCCCAGAGCCAATACTAAGACGTTGCCAGCCATGCACCCCTATCAAGCCAAAGAAAGCTCCATGGTGACATGCTGCATCTGTGCCTGCCTGATGTTAAGACCACACATCTCACAATGTCTCTTGGAAATTGATCTAACTCTATAGTGGTGTGTGTATGTGAGGCTGCATTCTGTCCATCTATAACCTACTTAAATTCTTCAAGTTCTTTATACTTTCAAGCATGAGTAACTATTTTAATATAAGTGAGTTAGTACTGCCATTTTTATGACACGGCAGCAAAGAGAACTACAAATCCAGAGCTCTGTGACTGGTGCCAGCTAGGTGATTTTTTTTTTCATCGGTATCCAGAGAAGAGGTTCTGTGAAATACTTTTGGCCTTATAGGTGATAAACTAAAAAAGAAGTGATTGAGATATGATTTTTTTTGGTAAAAGTGTAAATAAAGCCTCTGAATTTCAGACATAATTATTCTTAAGGGAAGTCATCCTTACCGTATGAGAGACATATGAGATAAAAGAAAAAGACAGAAACATCCCTG